AATGTTTTTTTTCTCTCCATTCACATTCATTAGATAAGAAGGCAATAATAACATCAGGGGACAAATATTTAATGTTATATTTGAGCTTCCTTTTGGGCAAAAAAATTACCACCGAAAAAAACTTTTTTTCAAAATTTGGAATAGTATTTATACTATTTCCCTTTTCACTCATGAATAACTTACTGGACTCAATCCTCGGGTCCTGTATGAGCAACGAGGACCGAAACATCCTCTACACACATTCCAACTTACGTAGCATCCAACTGCCTCAAAATTACGATTAAGAAGCGCAGGATTTTCAGAGTGGGCGACAAACTTTGAGGCCTAATTACTTCGCAAATGCTTATTTTCGAAAAATTCAACATGACCTTGTTTGAAAATCTGTTTTTAATAAACACATTTGATTAAGAAAAAAATTGTATTTTCATAATTGTAGTTGTAGGAAGACGCCGAAATATGTTTGAATTTTTTCAATTGTCGAAAAATAAGGGTATTTAACCAACACGAGACTTGCACCATTTTCTTAAACGTCCTTCATACAAAATTTCTTCAAAACGATAGAGCTGTTTTTGAGAAGAAATGTTTATTTAAAAATTTCAAGTTCTGTCTTCAATATTTTAGTTGTACGAAGACGCATTTTTTAATTTTTTCAATGCTCAAAAAAATCAAGATTTCATACCCGCGACAATCTCTTAAACATCCTTAGACGTTTCCAAGACTACCCAGCAACAAATTTTAATGAAAACAATGGCGCCATTTTAGGAAAATTTTGAAAATACCCCACGAGCATCATGGAAAGCACCCCCTCAAAATTAAAGTATTGATTTCAGTCATATCGACCACGGAATATAAAGTTTGGAGAAATTCGACTGAACGGTTAAGCCGCTAGCGTTGTTACAGACGGTCAGGCGATTACCGTCAATCGATTTTCCTATATCTACGACTCACAAAACAGCGATTCTAGGATCCCCCCCGTAAATTAAGCAACAGGATATCCAGTTTTTTCTTAATAAGGCCCCCTAATAGTTGTTTTTTGTGTTGTTTTTTTTTTTTTTGCGAAAATTCGCCAGTTTTTAGCACAGCATTTAATAACTTTGTCTTCATAAGAAGTTCCTCCTTAAGCGCGAGAAACCAAAAATATTGTTCTTTGTGCGATTCTGCAAATGAACTACTCATAGCATCCTTGGTTTTGTTTAAAGCACTTCATTTAATGTAGTAGTGCCACAACACGTGCAGTCTCATAAATCGTAACTGTTCCATTATAATATTTTACTCCTACCCTAGTAATACTTCACCCTTCTCCAGAAAAACTTAACAAAACCATGACAAAACTCAAAGAAAGAAAAGAAAAAAAGCCATTCTATTTTTAATGAAAATAGTACTTTTGCAATTGAATTCAGAAGAAATTAAAAAAAAAGAAAAAAATGAAGAAAAAACAAACAAACGTGCATTGGCTAGACTTAAAAGAGAAGGCATTTAAGAAAATTTCACTCTTGCAATTCTCAAAAACTGAGAAGTTTTAATAAAAAATGACCTATGTCATTTTATACAGAGAATTTTGCATTATTCAGGGGATAAAACAGGAGCCATTGATGAGAAAATCTTATTTACATAATTTTTATCATCACAATTTTACTCAATTACAAAAAACTTACAAATGACCTTACCAAAAGACCAAATTTTTAAATTTTCAATTATATAACATTTTTAAATTTTGCAATTTCTGGAATTTCAAGAGGTTTTACTATAAAAAAAATTGTGCCAATTTTTTTGGAAGTATGTGGATTTTTCACTATACAAGCAAAAAAATCTGGAGCCTTTTTGAAAAGAACCTAGGGTCCTCAATTAAAGTGCCTCCCAAAATTAAAAGATCCATCTCCAATTCAAGGGGTGACATGAGACAGATGAAAAGGCTGATATTGGTGAAAAGCATGTCTACAATTTCAATTTTGGGGCTGGTGGTGTTCACAGATAGAGAAAAGAAAATATGACTGTATCTCAATGTCATTACAAATGTAAATTAAAAAAAGATAACCTAGTTTCTGGAAACTAGGTATCTTTCCACCACACATGTCCATTACTCTTGAGTGTGGTAAAACATTTCAAGAAAAAGAAATTGTAACATTAACATGAAATAAGTAACAACTTACAAAATGAATCTTTGGATATTCAAATGTAAAGTGATTAACAAAAATTGGTAGTCTTCAAATATTAAAAAAAAAAATTTTAGCTATCAGATCAGAGAGAACATACAAGATAAAATATTTAATCAAATATAAACTTATTAGAGAAGAAATACATCCTCCATACAAGGCAAGGGTAAGGAATATACAGGGAATATCACATAGAGCAAAATTATAAACAAAGGAACATCCTGGAATTGAATTCATGGAGGCTTTAAGTTAATTGAAGAATAATGACCAAGATATGCGAACACTGAAGCTTGAAATGCTGGAGCAAGTGCAGCCAAACCAAAACTGCACATCTAAAAACTGCTGAGCAAGCAAAGAAAGCAAGGTGATTTGCAAAAATAAGAATCAAATTCTTCCATAAATCTGTAGAATACATATATTCTATAGCTCTTTACTCGAAAAGAATTTGGTAGTTTGATTGCCTGGTAGATTCTCCAAGACACATTGTAAACAAACCAAAAATCTTCTGTGCATTAATGAATTAAAATCACATGAAGCTAACACTTGATATATTTTCAATCCTTTGTGATCCAGTCAAGAGGACAAATTGCACGTTCAGTAGGCAAGAGATTTGTGTCTGTCTACTTTGACTACATCATATATTGTATAAAATGAATGTCAAATACTGAACTTATATTTTGAAATAAACTCAACAACACATTCTGTTCCAAAAACAATGTTATGGGACATTTGCCTAAAACTATGGGTTTCAAGATAATGGTGTGAAGTAAGAGAAATTGAAGATCAAAGACCATCCTTCTTTAAGACAAAAATTCTATTTGAAATGGCAAGGAATATGCATATATATTAACACTAAACTAGAAATTGAATTCAATATTTAATTTTTCAAACATGAAATGTGAATCTTTTTCTTAATGTCATACACAAGTATGATTTAAAGTCTGTCTTATTATATGGCCCAAATTATCTCGGTACTCATAACTCTAGGTCGAATGGTGTATAAATTGAAATTCTGATGATCTTGACCACCGTTTATAAATGTAATGTAGAGAATCTTGAGGGTAGGTCAATAACAGTAAATTTTTTTACAATGCCAACAGTTTATTTGGCCTGCTTCTATATACATAACAACACAAGATAAATATATAGATAATGCTTAACACGATTTATATTACACAAGAACCCAAAACATATTCAACCTAATTCAACTAACTTTTGGTTTCTTGTGTAATATAAATTGTGTTAAGCACTACGTTTATAATAATCTTGTATTGTTGTATGTAGCCCTGAAGCAGGCCAAATAAAAGGACGAGATATTGGTAGTGTAAAGAAATTGTCTTTTATTGACTTACCCTCACGATTCTCTACATTATATAAATTGAAATAAATAAATAGGATCCCGAATGTAAGAACATATTTTTTAAAATTCTAATACATTTCTGCTGAGCCCACAAAAATGCTTATATGTGCTTTAATGCTAATTTCCTCATTGACATGATTCAAATGATTTCTCAATGATTTTGTTACCGAATTCTACCTATGGGCATCACAGAGCAGTTTTTTTATTTCAAGCCTATTTCTTCCCTTCCTTGCTGACAATACAATGGCAGCACAGTTCTCCCACTGTAAACACATTGCACATATACAAGAGCTGATATCTTGATGCAATTTTACAAAAAAGAAAAGGATTGTACTGGAAAAATATGTTAAAATTTAACAAATCGACTATGAGATAGTTTCTTTCACTAATTGTTAATCACTTGCATAAAAAACTACTGGTATGTTTATTTCATTATAGCTATTTACTATATAATAAGCAGTGCATTAATTTTCAAAGAAACGAGAATAATTACATTTCGAACTGCAAATACTTTTTGAACACATTTCTTACTCCTAAATTTTTCATCTTTCAATTTGGATTTTTGAAATCTACAGCTCCCCATTACCCATTAAATTTTCTAATACACTATAGTTAAAATAAATCAAATCTAAACTTTGATTAGGATCATGATCTGGATCTACATTACTAATTGTTAGGGGACAGATTTTGATGACCTAAAACACTGCCAAAAATGATCAATAAAATGCCCTAAAAACAAAGAAAAATGACATTAAAAAAATTGATCAAAACCACTTTAGATGAACAACTCAAGCTGTTGGGTTTGTTACCGATGTGATCTAGGCTTCTTCATTTTGATCAACTGAACTCTGCTTGCAAACTTTTGCCTTGGACTTTCTTTGAAAGAAAATCTCTGCCTTTATTTATCATGAAATCAGCCAAACTGACGTGCCAATGGGCTCCACAGAAACCTTAGATTACATAGTACTCGCAACAACTGGCATTACAACGCACGAGTGAGGAAATCAAATAGGCTACTCAGGAATTCTGTGGTTGCATTTTGTAAATATTGTTTGAAGCAAGTACCATTAAATTATATTAAAATCGAGTATATCAGCGAAAAATACATTAAAATGATATAAAAAGTTAAAAAATGAATTATTAGTCAAAATCAACAAAAAATGCAAAAGCCCTATAAATATGGATCATTTTGTTTTGTCATAACATAAAATGAATTTCTGTACTCGACGGCATTGATCTAAAGTGAAAAGAAAAATTCATTTTCTTTCATTAAAATCTGCCCCCTACTAATCATTATACTACTTCACCTCCAGAGCCCTATTGTGAAGGGTTTAGTAGCGAGCGTGACCACCATTGTTTCAACTCTTGTATACTTCATCATAATAATTCTCATCCTTAGTATTATTTTTTTAAAAAAATTATTCTTTTGCTAAGTTCTTTCATTGGTAATTCAAATAAAAATAATTTTTAACAAATGTAACCAAAGATAAAACTTACCAGGAACTTCAAAAGTTAGAAAAATATATGCAAAGCAGTTTGAAGAATGCCTTATGCACATTTTATTTTGGGTCACAATCACAATACTGATTACAAGTTATATCAATCATCCATGGCATGTTGCACTTGTCTATACAGTTCATTCTTCAGGCACTGTAATAATTTCTTGAAACTAATTTTAAATAAATGTTTTCTCAAAAACTTTGGGCATTAAGGTGTTTTATCACAAGACAAATACCACTCGAAATAACTTTATTGGATTTTTTATTCATAGGACTGCTAAAAGCAGTCACAGTGCAAAACCCTGCAATAAAATAATTTATCTTACAAAGGAAGAGGCAGACAAGCTACCAATTTATCAGTTTATGTAATAATGAGGGAAGTGCACACCACACATGGCTTTCCAATGTCTTTAAATTAAAGAAAAATGCAACATTTCACTCACACCAAGAGATGCGGGACAAGACAAGAAAGGTTTTCATTTCTTTGTTACATTCATCTTCACTAGGCAGGGTATTTTAATACTATTTTGCCTGCCTTTTTTGTCTATCCCCTGCCTTGGTGCAATTTTTAGGACAACCTACAAATAGTTGCTTCTTACACATGTACAGTCCATACCAAAAGGTTATATTGATCCCAAATAGCAAACTTACAATGATATAAATTAAAACTTCAGAATTATATTGCTAAGACTCAAACCATAAAAAACAGGAAAACTGTTTGACCAAACTTGCATATGCTTCATTTGGGAAAAATCTAACCTTTTGTGTATTGTTTGAAGTATTATAAAAACCTCTAACTGTCATTCATCACCAGCAACTGTGAAATTTACAGTGCTCCATTTAAACTTCAATGAAGTTTTGACCATACTTCCCATTGCTTCATTTATGAACAAGTCAGTAAGTCAATTGGGAATGATATATCACTGAATGTGACTAAAGAAATCTTAACAATATGCAAGCAGTCAGCACAACACACAAAGTCAAATTACTACTTTGGTATTTCTGCATCTAAGAGTGCCAAAGGAAGCCACATTTTTACTACTTAAAATACATAACAGATACCTTCACACTGATCAAGATCAGAATTATGTACGTAGCAGCAGAAGCAACAAATGCTCAAGGGAATTGCATTCCCCATCATGAATACTTCCTACAAAAAACTTATAAAAATCTGTTTTCCAACAAATCTCCATTGTTACTTCCAGGAAAATGTATATAATGTCGAGTTCCACAAATTCAATAATGGTTTTCCATCCTATATTTATCACAATACAATTTACAGCTGGAAACGGGTCAGTTGTAGCTGTTTTTTCACAACATAAATAAATAAGCTTGTATTTAACATTGTTCAGCTACATCTATATTTCTACTTTTTGGTTACATTTTGATCAGCTGTTAAAAAAGTGTCATTTTTATAAATTAATTTTTCTCCACAACAGTTTTGAGAAACTATGACAGGGTAGTACTTCAAGCAGACAACAATACTTGAGGTTTCTGCTCATATATGTGCTGCAAGCTTGCAAAGAATACAGGAAATAACAGGAAAAGTAAAATATATTGGACCACTTTAAGTAGTGCACTGCTTCCACCCTTACATAAAAGACATCTTTGCTGTGTATATAAAAAGGCAATCAAATAAATTAGGGGGGGAAAATGTATCACATATGCTACAAATGTACCAATTATTTGCAAATTAAATAGTGACAAAATGTCATGATCATTAATGCATGATTAACATGATGCGAACTACTAAGCAATCTTCACTACACACCCTAGACCCTCAGCAAAGGTAACTTGTATTTTACAATCAACATTCGTATGTCCTTAAAAGGACATGTCAATAAAAAACCATATTTAAGAACCTGGCTTACATAGAACTGTAGCACTTCAAAGCATATATCCCTAACAAAAATAAAAAGTTATTCACAAATTTCATATCCTCATAAACTCTATAAAGCACTTAGGATATAAACATAATTAGTTTACATTTTAAAATATGCCCTCAGTCATATTGGTACACTCAACAAATTATTTAAGAACGGATGGATTATTATATTATAATGAAGAAAATAAAATGCTTTCTTTAGAGTAAAATCTTGAAGACAGAATTGTCACAAATCAACTAGTAAAACTACAATGTACCTCATGAAATGACTGCACACATATTTTACCAGCTGCACTAAAAACACACACACACATTATAAAAGTATCCAAAAGAAAGACAAATGTGGATTGTGTCAAATGACAATGACTCGAAACCAAAAGCCATCCACTCATCAGAAGGACACCCAGGAACTTAGCATAGGCAGCTAAGTTGGTCTTCTGAGTACATTGTCAACAAACACTACTCACCAATCCCAATGAAAATACAGGGCGTTAGTGGTGGTAAAAGGAAGAACAGTTACTGATGTAATAATACAAGCATGAAATTAACAAGATGTAAATAGAACTGAACTCTTAAAAAACGTTGTTCATTCACCTATTGCACACTCACATTTACACATAATTCACAGGGAAAACTTAACACAATCTAACATTAAAAAGTAATAAATAGTATCGGTAGTATTGTGAACATGCTGGCACTGCCAAGCCACTTTTAATTTAAGTCACATTAACATAAAAATCAAGTACGCTAATAATACAGCAAATATTGCAATACCTGGAGTAAAATATATTTTACCCTGTTGACATGGAGATTGTCTGAGTGCAATTTGTTGACACTTCAATCCATCATTCAGTACACGATCTCAATATACTATATATGAAAAGGCCTTCAAGAACATTTTCTGTAATTAAATAAATAACATTAAAAGTGAAAAGCAATAAAAATGCATAGAAATAATAATTTCTTAAAAATGGGCACCAATTGCACTATTCTCCTTAAATGTAAAATTTATAATATTCTTATTTAAATAACTATGCCTCAACTTCATTGTAAATTGCCAGGAACAAGAAAGGAAGGGGAACTGATATGCTTTCTTTGCGATTCTGGATGTTGCAAACTCACCCAACATATCACTAACCAGATGCAAAGACATCTGTAAAATACCACAATCTCAGGCATAATTTCTTGATGTCAATACTAATATATTGACACAAATTCAAACCACTGACATAAATTAATATAGATACTAATCAAGAATTAATTACAAATAAAATAATGACCAGTTTCAACAAAATTTTCAACTGCTCCCAACTTTTTATAAATAGTTTCTTGAGGAGGGTTGCCAATTTACATGAACAAAATTGAACTCTTTAAAACTGCAGACTATTCATATTGCCTACAAATTGCATCTGCTTTACCAAATTTCCCCTTATCTCTTTGGTTGCATTCAAAGCCACTGAAAGCAAGTTGATTTTACATTTTACTATGAATAGATAATTCAAAATAGGACCCGATTCATTCATAGTAAGCCCAATTCATACCACTCTTGCAGTTATCCTGACAGTAAAGAGTGGAAGTAAAAGGTAATGTATTATTACACGAGGGCATAAAACAAAAAACATCAAACCAAACAGACATTAATCTAGCTTTGATGCTGGTCTTTCCCTCATATACATGCAACATTGCATAACACACCAACTCAACACAGACTTAAAAATTTGCGGCGCAGCACTTTGACATTTCTTTTCTGTTTTAGATATAAGCACCACAGAAAGATAGAGACCATTGTAATAGGTATGCTTTTTTAAACTGTGTTAAAGATTTATAAGACAAAAATTATAATATATATATTTATATTCTAGTGAAATGATTTGGAATAGTTCTCTTATTAAGTGTTATGTGAGTTGTGTTGGTATATTGTTACTATACTTCTACAGACAGCACCTCATGTAGTAAAGCCCCTCAGCTTTCATTAAGCTCTGAAAAAAGAGAAAATATACATGATAAAACACACACAAACAAAATGCTATTTAAAAAAAATTGACAAATGATTACAGGACACTGATAATCAAGCAAGAACTGCAATTCAATGAATCAAACTTCTCTAATGTCTCAACAGTTAGAATTTTGGGGATATTCTAAGGAACATCTGGTTAGGAGCAGAGCTCTTATACTTGTTCTCTAACATCAACTTGAGCTATCTCACTCACAGGGCCAACATTGCGCAAAAAAATGCAAATTGTTTGATTAGCTAGGAATTGAATTATTTGTTACGTTGATATAATGACATCTAATCACATTTTTAAATATTTCCATAAACTCCCCTACCAATGTCACAAAATATCTCCTTTCAGTCTTGAACAACCATATCTCCAGAGATATTCATGAAATGGCCCAGTCTTCAAGATGCACTCTTTTTCATTTAGACCACCTCATTGACTACATTATTATATGGATTTCTGTTATAGGTTTCACTAATGCAGACCGTTTCATGTCTAACTTGCTATGGCCCTAACTAACTGATGTAACGTCGTGTGTAGTGATCTACACCACAAGGAAACAGATACGAGTGAGTATATACAAGTTTCATTTACACAATGTGCATATTTACAACTCTCACTCTAAGGCCAGAGCTACCACTGCAGCCCTCCTCTCCCTACATGCGCCTTGCGGCGACGCCTACGACCGGCCTGCTAGGCCGCCTCGCAAATTGGCACCTGGTGTGCCCCGGCAGATTGACGATCTGCCTGAATGTGTTTGAAGAACACCATGTCCGAACGCGTTGAACAACCACGTGCCATCGGCACTCCGCACCAGTCTGGGCGGACAAAGTTTTTGTGGTCTAGCCACGAGGAAACCAGGAACATTACCCGTTCGCGCCGTCTCGCCGCGGCGTCTTTATAGGTTCAGGTCACCTGACCTCCTACGTCACTACTCCCCACCCCCGCGCAGTGGAAAGAGCCTTTCCCTGGCGCTGCCTGGCCCGCGGACCATTTCCTCTTGGAAAGTCCCTTCTTTGTTTGGGCGTCTATTTTTAGATCCCCCAACCCTCTACCTTGCACTCGGCTTGCTGCTGCCAAGCCGTGACGCTACACTGAATTCCTTCAAAATCTGTGTAAAATCATGCCCACTTGCACAGGTCAAACAATAGGCTGCAACAGTATTTAGTTCCTCCTATTTTTGGGCCTAACTTACATGCAAACTTTACAAGTTCAAAATGACGAACATGAAAAGAACAACACAGTAGGAAGCAAGTCTGTACTCAAAGATAACAAAACTGTATAAAAAGTTTGGACACCCTGCATTATGATGCTACTTTTTGTGAACAAGTGAACAATACACTTCATGTAATCATATCTGCATTAGAACACACAAGTTTTAATTTCTCATACCTCTGTTGCCTCCAGTTACAATCTTCTTTTTGCGCATCATCTCTTCATCACTACTGATGATCCGGGTAGGCATTCCCCCACTGTGCACAATTGGGGCACTTCCCCGAAGAACTCCCGGTGTTCCAAGATGGGTGTGATGTTGGCCAGCTCGTATTGGCTTAGCTACAAATTACATAGCATTGGACAAAATTAAAAAATATTTTAAACCAAAATCTCTAGCTAATCTATAAGTAAAAAAATTTCACTAATGACTTTCATACCAATCTGTGCACTGGGTCCACGTCGAGCTAAGTTCTTCTGGCGAACTGCTTCCTTAATTCTATCCACTTCATATTGATATCTTTTCCTATCTTTCATTGCACCTTCCTTGGCATCCTTCAGAGCAGACTCCAAAGCCTACAACCATACAATAATGTAGAAAACCTCACAACACAACTGAATTTTATGCATATAAAAATAAGACCAACCTTCACTCTTTCCATTGTAGCTCTCAATCTTTTCTCCAGTTTCGGCAACTCACACCGCAAATCTGCATTATCACGCACCAATTGCTTGTGCACTTTGGTTAGCTGATCTAGGTTGTTTTCCAAAAAGCTGATTTTTTGTTTCTGTGCTAAGGAGCCACCATCATCTTCATTGTCATCAGCATTAACAGACTGGAAAAAATACATTTGATAAAACATGGTCCAAAATTTAACACAGAAAAACACTTGGAACTACTTAAGCAAAACATCCATGCTCCATGAAAGCACTCCACTGAAGCCCAAAACAAGCAATAAATGTCCCAGTATCTTGACATCTCCACAAAAGTACTTAGAAACAGGGAAGGAAGTTGGAAGGATTCAAAAAGAACCATGCAAACTATAGGAAAATAAAATTCTTTATTACCACGATCTTACAGTCATAATTTCTAACAATTATGAAATCATAATGAGAGGTACAAAGACGGAACTGAAGAAGAATGCACCCAGTGAGAGAGTAACAGTACCAAAAGTATAAAAATCATAATATGAAGCAATGCCAAATGTACACAATACTACAAAAAATGATATCAAACTTCTGTCCAAAACTAATGCTACTAATGTGACTAATATAATAAGTATATCAATATAGCCACCTCCATGCATAAATGTACAAAATCCATGCAACAAAATTAACATTGTTGCCAAAAGATGAATTACTAACAAGTACCAGGAAATTCTAGGTATTCTTTTAAAAGCATTCTTCAAGCTATTTGTGAAATGTGATTGAGATTTTGGAGGTAGCTCAATGAACTCCATACAGTTGCTCAGGTTTCTTTTCTGAGCCATTAAATGGCTATACTGAGAACAAACTAAGAAACAATGAACAGCAAAAGTACTTTGTACTTTTTTCACATAATTCTTAGTACACCGACACATTTCCCGCCATTCATACATTACATATTCATGACTGTGACAATACATTAAAAATTCATATATCAAGGGAATGAGATTAGGATTGTGCGTCAACATTCTTAACAACAAAAATAAATTCAAGTGGTGAGCATTACGAACAATCTTTATCTGCTTTCTTAAGCAACTTAACAAACACTGCAAAGCAGTATCATAGCAGCACTCATTGGAACAAAGTATTGGAGAAAACTGAGATAGTCTACTATGAATAGCAAATAAACAGAGTATTCTCCATATCATTACAACAAAGGGTAAATGACAATTACATCGAAAAAAAGATTGATATCTAAACAAATTAAATTCAAGCTTGTCGACATTACATTCTACAAATTGTAGCCATAATCTAAAGGTATCAAGTGCCATTTTAGGAAGTGAGCAATTAACATGCTGCTCGTGCAAGCACACACAAGAGACTGAACACAAGTGCAACTGAAGGAGAAGATGGGCTACTTTTGAGAGAACCAGCAGGTTGTGCAACATGATTTTGCAATACATTAAATTCAGTAAGAAATACTGGAGAGCAAGGAGTTGTTTTACCTTCTTGATGCGAGCCTGCAAGTCTTGAACAAACAATTTGCGCAAATTGTGTAAGGTTTGCAGCTCTTTAGCAACTGTGTCTTCCAATCCCTTAAGATCTTTGCGAGCTTGTTCTCGCCTCTCATTGGTCAAACTGAAAATAAAAAAAAGGTTTTTATTGGAAATTCTAACTTAATTGTCATGACAGGACAAATATACAACAAGTAACGTACATCAGCTCCTGGAGTTTGAGGCTCTTGTCACTCTCCTCTTGTTTCAATCTTTCATAATCTTGCTGCATTTGTTGATGAGCTAGAGTGTATTTCTGGTTTAAGCTGCAACAGCAAAAGAAATATTTAAATTTCAAATAAACACATCTAGTGATGATCTAATGATGCATCTAGTGATACATATATTCTTGCATTCTTGTAAATTTTGCGATTTTCGAAAAAACAGACACTTCAACAAAAATCAAACTTGTGCCATTTTTATATGCACAATTCAAGAAACAAATTACATAAAAAATTTGCAGCCATTTTTGAGAAAAACTTGCAACCCATATCATGCTGCAATACAAATTGCCATTGTGCATAACTCAGGAACAATGATGTTCCCTAGGACCTTAACCCGCCACTGCCCTAAATTTACAAGACACAATGGAAAAAGTGAAGCAATTTTTAACAGAACTGAAGATAATTGTATTTTCTTTCTTTGTGGAGTTCAACAGTAACACTTTGATTTTAATGTAATTTTTATTTGCAATTATCGAAACTATTAACATATTTACAGTGTTCTCCTCAAGTATTTCTTTCATACACAAACAGGCTTACTTTTTCAGTTCATTTTGCAAGGTCATAAATAAGAATGGGAAACTATATATGAACAATAATAAACCAAAACGTTTTTTTAAATTAAATATTAATAAAAACAAAGAATCACCAACATTTCCTATTTTTTTGTAGAAGTTCTATTGCGGTCTCCTATAGCTATAGTTTGGTGGATTTTGAACACCTTTAGGCAGTTCAATGCTCGTATCCATTTTCGGACTGTTAATCTTTGATTTCATGTTTCGTTTTCCAAATTCGTCAGTAATTAATTTTTAAAAAATTCATCACCACCAAGTGACATTTTCATTGTACTTTTGGGCATCATGGTGTAAACAATGTGTGTATAGAGTGCTGCAATATCTATTATATTGTATGAGAGATGCATTAGCCATCAGCATGTTTGATGTCTTGATGTGTAGTCATCAACCATCTGATCCATCATATCTACTATCTTTGTTTAATTATATAGTAAGGTCATTTATGGTTTCATGTTTACAAGATTAATAAAATGCAGATTGTGATGTATGAATCTAAGCATGTAAATAATTTTATTTCCTTTTGCTTTGGAAGAAAGTCAAATTATTGATATGGGAAGACACACTAGGAAACAATTTTTCAGTTTTCAATTCATTTGAAATCTTTTCTTTTATGTTTTGACTTGATCTTAGCAATGTAAATTATTTTGTAACAAGAACTTTGCAAGTAGGGCCATAAAAAAAATATTCATGGTAATGTTGTATCCTCAATTTCTCAAAGGTTGGATCAGTTCTTTCACTACATTTGCAGCCAAATCACCACCAAGAGTTCGTCCTTTTGCCTACCACAGTATGCAGCCATTCAATGTAAACTCAATGAAAACCCATTCTCCACAACACAACCCCAGAATATCTTTATACCACATTTAGCAGGTTTATTCTGCATATACATTCTGAGAGAACACTGCTATTTGTTTGTCATCAAAGTGAATCTTAAAATTTCTTCGAAACTACGAATAATCTTTGTTGCTGTGAAAAACTGAACACTTCTTTTACTCAAAGATCATTCCCTTCAGCATGTAATCAAGCTCTTCCGAATTTAATTTTTCACACATATCCACTGAAGGGAGATTAATTTTTGATGATTGCTACTTCCTGCACAATTTACGCAAGAAACGTGGAAACACATGTGGCAGAAACAGAACTAAATTTTGTACTGAACATCTGCAAAGTCAAAAGAGAGGGTGTCGTAAAGTGGAAGTATTTCATTGTCCTAGTCGCCTGTCGACCTAGGCACATTTTTCCATGTAGAAGTATCTTGAACTAAACCACAGAATTGAAGGCCTTTCAAGCCCTGTAAGTGGAAAGTACCTACCTACAGAAAAAGGTAGATTTCTAAAATCCAATTATTATCTGTTTACTCCTCTTACACTATTAGCAAGAATCAAAACATAACTGATTGACAGCAATGAAAAGATGTTAAGTGCATTGTTGGATTAAAATAAGTGTTTTTGAATCCCTAAAGTGAGACTAGTTACATTTCTTACACCATGACAATGAAATCTTTTTCATTGTACTATTCCATTTCTAAGGGGTACTCCACTCCACACATCACATTCTCAGAAACAATTTTAGGTTGATTTCTAGTATGAAGCTATTTTTACTTTTAAAATAAAAACTTTCACATAGCTCCAATGAGCACTTTTTAAAGCACAAAAACTTTTTTAGTCTAAAAATTACTTACTCTTTCAATTCATTAATAGCAGATTGCTTCTCCATTATTTCATCGCGTAAAGTTGCGACTTGTTTTTGATGAGCATCACGCAACTGATCCATTTGAATTTCAAGAGCTTCACGCATTTTATTGGCTTGCTCTTTCTCCTCTGCTTTCTCCTTGCTCGTTACTGCATGCATTTGCTCTGAAACATTTTCTCAATTGTTAGTCACACGCAATGTATTTGAAAAATATACCTCTCCAAAACCAAAATACTCACCAGCTGCTTTCATTTTTGCACATTCTTCACGAAGAGCATCAACATCCTCTTCCAAGGTTCTCTTCTTATTCTCAGCTTCACGCATGGACTCTTGTAAGGTTTTCATACGAGCTTCATGCTGTGAGATGAGTAGTCTGCAGTCTGCCAAGTCTTTTTCATATTCAGTGATCTGTAGCAAAATGAAGTAAAGTTGTCCTTTAGAATCGAGTTATATAAGTATTCCACAAGAACTAAGATTTGATCTTACTTTCTTATTGCAATCTGCCTGGAAACTCTCCAATCCTTGGCAGCGTTGAACCAAGTTCTTCACTTCTGACTTCATCTTTGAGATGTACAAACGAGCCACAGTGAATTCCTCTTCCAATTTTCCGTTACTGTCTGACAACACCTGGAAGGAAAAGAAATAGTTTTACCATCTCGAACATACAGGCATCACTAAATTGAGACAAGTAATAAAAATACACATACCTTTATTTCATTCTCTCCACCAATAGCAACACCAATTTCTCCCAGATCCTTTAAGAGATTAGTGAGCATTTCTGTGATTCGCTTTCTCTGATGGGATGACATGTCTTTAAGTTGTTGCAATTCTGATGATGTGTTATTGAGAGCACTCTGGAGAAAATTAAAATTGTAATTAATTAATCAAATATTGCATAAAACCAAGAACTTTTCATGGTGAAAAAATAAAAGAAAAAATCCAACCTGTTTCTGCATCAATTCCTCAGTTAGATTTTCATATTCCTTATTTTTAGTTTCTACTTCTTGAGACTTCTGGTCATAGTTCACAGCAAGTTCCTCAAGAGCCTGCAACACTTCTTTTACCTCTTCCTTTGCACTCTCATTTTCTTGTTGGATACGGTTCATCTCCTGTTGCAAGAGCTCATAGTCCCGTCGTGTTGATGCAATAAGCTGAAAATACATTATATGTAAGAATACCGACCTCAAAACAATATTGTTATTAATTTAATGAACTAAACTACCTCCTCCTGTTCCAACATTTGATCCTTCATCTTCTCCACTAACTGGCTCTGTTGGTTGATTTCCTCATCCTTCTCATCCAATGTATGGTAAAGCCTCTCACGCTCCTCTTCCAGTTTCTGTCGCTCTTCATTAGATAAAGAGCCAATCATAAGACCAGCAGGAGTTGCAGGCACAGGTCCCAGTACATCAGGTTTCACTTCACTGACAGGGGCAACTGGAGTAGCTACATCAATTTCCTACACAGAAAAATTTTGTCCACAATAAGTTGCATAATTTCTCAAAATACAATAAAAACCCCAATGACCATAATTGCCAAAATAAAATCCAAGAATAATCCAAACTATTTTCCCCACTATTCATAAGGTAAAGAATTAAACCTAACTAAAACTTAATTTCCATTTCCAATCTAAGCATGTGTTCATGTACTTGACAGATAACAAAAAGGAAATTCTTATAATTAAAGAATCAAGGTCATATGTACTCAAATCAAGCAAGAAACAAAATTTTGACTATAGTTCATCACTGTCACAAACTGTGTGATTTCCAAGATAGAAAAGAAGATTGAAGTGACAGTAAATTTGTATGTCCTCTTTCAGAAAGCACTCCACTAGGATATGCAGAATTGCTTTCAAATTTTAACATTGGTCAAAACATCAATACCTCTTATTTTAGGCTAAAAATCAATTTTCTGGACTTGGGTGGAAGGGTGCACTTTCGAATTTATGACACAGTGCACTTAAAACAGAGAATACACCACTTTGACAGAGTGTTGATTGTTGATGGAAATATCAGGGAATCAGAGAAAAAATTTAGTTTAGTGATGTGGCATTTTTACTGATACACAGTGATTTTGCACTAACAACAATAATTCACTCTTATCCATAATATAAGATGTTCCTCTGGATATAACAAGCTCAAAATATAAAAAAAAAAAAAAAAAAAAACTGCAAATTTGTTCCATCTGTAATAGCAAATAATCTACAATACATGAAAGAACTGATAATCTTTACTAATATATACAGATAAGGCACAGGGTGTTGCAGCACAGCATGATAATTTCCTAATGTACTAGATCAATATCCATGAAACTTTTGTGCTAGCTTCCTTTGAAGGTCAGGAGTGTTAGACACTATTATTTAGAACCGTAATTCTTAATATATTCACAAAATAATTACTTTTCTGGATTTTTTTTTCACCACCATTACATTACAGACTCAAGAATACATCAATGTGCAATAATTCAGCAGCGTGCCACCAGAGGATGACAATCGAGATCTATGATTGGTTTCATCATGGGACCTTATTGTGTACATCTGGAAAATAGGTAAGGACTGTGAGTTGATTTCACCATCAATTGTCTAATCCAAAATTGTTCATATTTCAGAATGATTCTAACCATTTTTCTTTACTTTATTTATAAAAGAAATCTGGGTATTGATTTCAATGGCATCTAGGCATGAATATAATAAATGTACAAGAGAAGAATGAAATGATTAAAAAACATTCTGCAAATAGACGTTTCTTATTGTTATTCAGGTATGAATAAACATACGTGCTCTACATGAAATGGTTATTGGTTTAGTTTTAGCAATATTACTAAATATTTGCGAGTTGCACAAGTGAAAGTGAAACACATTATGAATGATTTACATGTTATGCTGAAACTGACAGATGGATGAATTTTTGAAGGAAAGTATTTTATTGTAGTGGAGAAAGTGTACTGTTGTGTGAGGAAGGAACGACTGATGAGTAAGCTCAGCAAGAAGTATGATTGAAGTAAAAGACTAATGAGAAAAAGAAGGAATTGAATGTGAAACAACATTGTTTTTAAGGTGGTTAAAAATAAAACAGATTTTTTACATAACAGAAAAACTTCAAGTCAAGCCGGGATACACTGTGTGATCTCTCATTTTTGGAGATATCATAATAGTCCAAGTATTAAAGGCGCCGTTCCATCAGTCACATTCCATTTAACAAGGACTCTAAAATGCTCACTGAAATTCAATTGAAAGCACTTTATTTATAATTCAATTGTCTCGGTGTGGGATCAAAGATCATTTTCAAACATTATAAATACACAATGTGGTAACTGATTGCAAGTATGAGTGTAATACATAAAACTCCACAAAAATAATATGAGTACATGTATTTTATTTTAGTTCAGATTTATTTATTATTTTTAGTTATAAAGTGAGAAGTTTGAGCGTGGGGAAAGTGAATGAAGAATTCAGTGTAAGCAAGGCAGACAGTGGTTGGACAAGATGTAGCGGGGATAAAACATAATGGAAAAAAGAAGGTTTCACGGCAAGGCGGGAATAGATTGAATACCTCTTCTTGTCTAATCAGTTTTTGTGATAAATACTCCAGCAATGCAGGATACATTAGATAGTTAAATTATAAAAGACAAGCATAGAAGAAGAAACATCCATAGCTTGAAATATATTTATTAGTGTGGTACTAATAATTTTTAACTAAATAAAATATTTAGAAGAATCAAAAAATTGAGAATATTTCTGTAGCGGAAGAAGAGATACTTTGTGGGTTTCTCCACATTTGAGGCTCAATTTCACCTTGTAAAAATACTAAAATATAGAATCATTCATTACTACCATTACTCATATTATGGCGTTATTTAAACTTTAAAATATGGGACTATATCCATATGCAGTTAATTTTTAACTCTAATATACAAGTCTTTCTGCCAAATTCAAGTATTTTCTACTTAAAAAACACCTGCAGGTGATACTAAACAATGTACCACCATGGCTATCAGTAAATCAACTGGTAAACCTTGGAAAATGTTATTGAAATTAAAGGCTCAACTCTACATAGTTCTCCCCCAATTTTTTTCTTGAAACTGGGATAATCCTACAAATGTACACATCAATTATCAATTATTATATTTTGTGTGATTTTGTTTACATTACCATGCAGGTGTAACAAATGTTGACATACTAAAAAAAAATGTTTCTTCTTTATTTTCTGTGGTAAGAGATTATCTTCTGTGGTAAGAGATCATTTCTCAAAACAAAGCCATGTTTACTGTCCGTCAATACTGACTACAAATTTGTTTCTACTATCGTTTTATAAAGAATTTTCTGAAATTTTGCAAATCCAAAGACTCTTTCTACAAAAAAATTGTGAACATTGTGTTTTGAAAATCTAATATTTGCATATATGTGATAAAGTAACTTTTTGTATCACTAAACTGATCAGTATTTTTATATAAATTAGTAGGTGTCCAGTAATATCGTCCTTTATGTTGTTACAAGTTCAAATAACAAACTTTTTAATCTGAAGTCTGCTACGAAACCAGGAAATATAAAGTATTTGGAATAAACTGCAATCAAAAATTAATAGTCAGTGTAGGGAACACTGCTCTACACATAAGATGTACTGGAATGCAATAAATGTCCACAATCCTGTTAATTTGGCACACTTTCATGTGGCATTGCAATTTTCCGCTCAAGACATCATGATTACATTTTGTCCTGATGCATGCTGACAGAAAAAGTAATTATCAATGAATTTTGTAAAACTAATTTCAAAAATTTAAAAAAATCAATTTTTAAAATAGTATAAATGGAAAATAAAAACGATTGAAAATAAAAATGATTAGTGTGAAACTTTTATATTTGGAAACAAATTACAAACATCTAGAATCAATTGTACGAATTCTGTCTCGGAACAATACTATCAACTCCTAAAAACTTTCATTATCACAGCTAATATTAACATTTCAGCTGAAAATGTAACTTTTGACATATATGGGTTTGTCATAAATGTCCAAGTTAAATTTATTAACTACTTTTACAACTTCAAATTGGTTTGCTGCAGAGCTGATTCAGAATACTACTGTTAAGCAAGTGCTGTCTGCTTTATGAATTAAACAAATTAAAGATTGTAAAAGAGTATTCAAAATTTTCATTATCACTGGATATGAACAGAAATCAATTATACTAAAAATATTTTGACTAATTTCTATATATTCTACAGAGTTGATGAAAAAATATAAGGAGAGTTAAAAAATGTTTATGTTCATGTTAATTCACAGATAAAATTATGAACATGTAAGGAACATTTAACAAAACAAATGAAAAATTAGATTAATAAAATAGAAAAAAGAAAGAAATAAGAAAGGAAGAAATTGTGTGAAAGGATTTTCTAAAAATATAACTGGAAGGATAGTGGGTAATCAAATCCTAGCTGTTACTCATTCCAATTCTAGTATAGTATTACAAAATTATGGTTTTTAAAACCTTGAATGGTTTCTTTTTCATAAAAGAAATTTGAACATATAATCACAAGTTAAGAAAAAGATTTCTTAAGAAATGCATTATACTGGAGATAATTTGCAATCTTAAAAGAACAATTAAAAGTACACTTACAATATTTACATTGGGACAACTCTCAGTTATTTCTTTAAAATATTAAGGTTAGGGCCCAATACAGGCAACTAAGATATCAATAAGAAAGTTACTAATTATGGGTGAGACTGATTATACTGCCACTGTTTACAATTTCACAGTTTTATGTGATGAAAAAAAATGGAGGGTCGGCAAATTGAGTTTGCACGTGAAATTCAAAATAATTTTCCCAAGAATAATTTTGAAACCTGTACAAATTGCAAGTTTCTCTACATAAATAAATACTCTTACCTAAAAATATGGATAAACAATATGTTCTAACCTTCAAAAATACTAATTCGTAAACATATGACAAAAGTACGATCATAAATAATGAACAAGCAAATGTTTAATTACTAGAGCCTGGAAGTTTGGCAAAATACCCTTTTATTATGGTTACGATTTGAAGACTGACAGAAGAAATAAAAATCAAAATGAGAATAGAAGTTGATACTAGCCAAGAGATTTGAATTTCTTTCATTGGTATACAAGGTCTAACAAAGAGTCCCTTCAGGTCCCAAAGAGGTACTTCACAAATGGTCTCTGATCCCCTATCAAGAACAGACTTCTCTGCACTTCATAAAATGTAACCCTTCTTAGTGCTGGTGATACTGTAATTGTGTACTACCTTTCCAAAATTTACAAGGACATTTGACGGTGGCACCAGTGAAACAAATTCATGCTCATTATTCTGAAATTAAGTGTGCCATTAGGAATAATTCTTAGCACTGAAACTGAAAACTAATCTTTAAAATAACAGATAGCGTCCACACAAAATTTGGTGGCCATGCACAATCAAGAATACAAACAAATGATGATTTCCTTCCATG